CTCCATGTTAAGTCATCTTGTTGCAAAACGGCGCTTGCACCTGCAGGTCTGTCTATGTAAATGGTTGAGTCTTGAAAATTATTCCTGTTCTGCTTATTTAACAAATCATAATTTGTTATCAAAATACACAACAATATCAGACTGTTGGTAGGGTAAATGGTGCTTTTTGCTTCCTGGAGGAGATCACAGTAGCAGGATAAATTTGTCTTGAATTTATTCTGTCAACTTCTTGTCTGTTTTTTTTCAGTTTTCTCATTTATATTCTGCTTTAGCTGTTGTAGAGAATATTAATAAGAAGTAGCACCTGAAATGCAAGCCTATATGTTCTGGTATAAAGTGAAGTACCTAAACAGCACTTCATGCTACAAGGATATTGGTGGCTCTGCCATGTTGCAGAGGGGCAATAACAAACCCAGAAAAAAATCATTGGGATGCTAAATTTTTATTCTAGTATCTGCCATTTTAGACTGCAAATATAAATATTTAGAATAAAGAAACTCATGGCAGGTTCAGCAGTTTGCACTAATGGGAGTAAGTGCAACAGCTGCAGTGAAAAAATCTCTGTGTCTTGATTTTATTCTTCAGAAGGGAATCTCCAGCTACTAGGAAAGTATGCTATAAATAAAAAATAGCAGAACATCTAATCTAAGCCTCCTTAGAGCTGAAAATTCTTCAAGAACTCTTAAAGGTTAATATTTTATTTTAGGATGCAGAAGCAAAGCACTGTAGTTCACGAACTTTCTTATTATTTTGGATGTCAAAAGCAAAGCAGGAAAGATGAACATGAGAAGACACTGCCAAGCAGTGCTGAAGAAAAGGTAGCAATGATCTTGATGATCTGAATATTCATATCTGTTAAAGGCAACACATTTGCAATGGAGAGGTATACTATTCTGGAGGTGCTTCTGGGGACTCTCACTTTTGCGTCACCTGAATCATCTTCAGCTTCTGCCTTCTAAAGACTCATGACCATGAAGGACAGAGGAGATGACTGGATGGCTACAGGACAGTACTTCCACCTTATTGTCACAATCCTAATCAACAACTTTCTGAGGGAATACAGAAAGATAATTATATCAAGTGCAATTTTATTTCAGTGAGCCTAATCCCATGACCTAAAGAAGACCTTCCTGATTCTGCTAGCAGTGCTGCTCCCCGTGCTGCCCGGGAGGCTCTTGGCCTTTGCTGCAAGGGCACATTGCTGCCTCACGTTCAGCTTGTCCACCAGGACCCTCAGGGCCTTTTCTGCCAAGCTACTTACCCGCTGGTCAGCCCCCAGCATGTGCTGGTGCATGAGGTTGTTCCTCCGCAGGTGCAGGTTTTTGCACCTCCCCTTGTTGAACTTCATGAGGTTCGTGTCTGCCCATTTCTTCAACCTGTTGTGGTCCCTCTGAATGGAAGCACAACCATCTGGTGTATCGACAACTCTTGCTGAGGGTGGCATCCAGGCCATTAATCAAGAAGTTAAACAGTATTGGCCTCAGTATTGACCTAGTATTGACCCCTGAGATATATCACTACTCACCAGCCCCCAGCTGGACTCCATGCCACTGACCACAACCCTATGGACCTGGCTAGTTTTCAGTACACCTCACTGTACACTTATTTAATCTCTACTTCAGTTTGCCTTTGCGAATGTTATGGGAGACAACTGTCTAAAACCTTAATAAGGTTGAAATAAAAAAAATCCACTGCTGTCCCTCTCCTGGATGCTCAGATAAGGTTCTCTATTGTTCCAGGTCACCTGGCCCTGCTTCCACCTCTGGTATGCTTCTTTTTTATGTCTGGGTTTTGTCAGGATCTCCTTGTTCATCCCTGCAGGCCTCCTCACTCAACTTTCTGCAGGCCAGAGTGGACCATTCTTGAGCTGGGAGGAGCTGATCTTTGAAAATTGACCATTTCTCTTGGATCCCTCTTCTCTCTAGGGCCACATCCCATGGGACCCTTTCAAGCAGGTCCCTGAATGGATCGAATTCTGGTCTCCTGAAATCTAAGGCTGTGACCCTGCTTTTTGCTTCGTTCCTTCCTCTTAGGATCCTGAACTCCACCTTCTCATGGCCACTGCAGCCAAGACTGCCCCAGACCTTCACACCCCCAACCAGTTCTTCCTTGTTTGTAAGTGTAAGGTCCAGCAGAGCCCCCTCATTGTTGGCTCCTTAGTCAGCTTTGTTAGGGATTTGTCAACCAGTGCACTCCCCAGACTTTTTGCATTGCTTGTGCCCTGCTCTGCTGCCCTTCTGGCAGATATCAGGTTGGTTCAAGTCCCTCATGAGGATCAGAGCCTGCAGACATGAAGTTTTGTCCAAATGTATGAAGAAGGCCTCTTCTACTTCTTTTTCCTGATCAGGGGGTCTGTAGCAGAGATCCAGAACAACTTCACCCATGTTGTTCCGCCCCACCAGCTCCCAGTTGACTCCTCATGCATCCCAAGGCAGAGCTCCATGCTCCATTCCTGCTGCTGTCTCACATAAATGGCATTTGGTTTTGTTCTATTTTCTCTGCTCTCTTTGTTGATGTACTCTATACATTGCTCTTTAAATCATAGAAGAACAATAAATAGCCATTTAACAGTGTTCTTTAACTTTGTATTCATAGTGTAGCTCAGAGACACTGTATATTTTATCAGAAGTTCTTAAAATCTTAGAAGATTAATTCTTTTGATGAATAAAAAATAATAAATTATACAATGAAATACAAAGCAGGGAATACAGTTATGTTTAACCTAAAATAGATGATAGTCTTGTCACAGTTAATAACCAGTAGTGCATTTTCTCTTACACAGCACCTCACTGACAACAAAGCACAGCAAAAGAAACAATATACTCATGTTTCTGTAAATATGCTTTGTGAGTACTACTGTGCTTGAAACCAATCTGGGAAAATATACACTTAACTAAAATCTTATTATATTTAATGTACTTTTATTGTTTTCCACTTTTAATGTCTGTCGGATTCTTGCTTCTTGCTTGCTTTCTTCCCCTTTTCAACTATTTTTGAGGAGATCTAGTTGCCAAGTGAGGCTCTATAACATTTCATACACATGCGATGCATACATTTCACTCTTAGCATGGAATAACAGATACAGCATATTTTATAATGCTTAAAAAGAAGCCAAAGTAAGCTTATGTTGAAGACACATATTGCAACATTGTCTGTACCATGGCATTCATCCTTATCAGAAGTGGCTCCGTTTCTTTGGCGTCATTTCTGTGTTTGGTACGTGTGCAGTAATTGAGTCATTGGGACCACTCAAAAGGCACATGGCCTGCTGAAGGACAAAACTCCTCCTTTCCTGTGAAAGTTTGCTCATTTATACCTTTCTGTTCTGAGTAGTCCCATCGTCAATGGAAATATGGTAACCGAGTATGCATGTATTTTCAAGAGCCAAGAAAATCACTAGACAAAATAAGTATGCGTCCTGGGTTTGAGTGAGTGGTGGGGTTTTTGGTAGCAGTGGAGTGTTGGTGGCCCCTGTGAGAAGCTTCTCGAAGCTTCCTTGGCTCCACGTTGGCCCCACCTCTGCACCAAGGCCAAGCCAGTCAGCTGCACCTCTGCGATAATGTATTTAAGAAGGGACCTGTCAGGAGGAGTTGGATTTGTGAGGAGGAGGTGCCCTGGAGCAGAGACCCACTCATATCCTGTGGTGAGATGGCAGGGTGGCCCCCCCCACCACCACCCGTGGAGGTCTACGGTGGAGCAGATGCTGACATATGGTCTGTGGGGGACCTTGTACTGTCTCAGGTGATTGCACCTGAAGGAAGCTGGGGTTCTGTGGGAACAAGCAGCCCCCACTGTTGTAGATTGGCACTGGGAGGGTCGCAGCATGCAGGGGTTTCCCATGCTGGAGCAGCTCGGGAAGGGCTGCAGCCCGTGGGAGCGACTCCAGTTGGAGAAAGTTGGTGCCCCACGCTGGAGCAATGAGGGAAACACTGCGGTCCATGGGAGGGACTCACATCGGAGAAAGTTTGTGGATGTCTGTCTCCTGTGACAGGGGGACCACACTGGAGCAGAGGGAAGAAGTTCCAGAAGCTGCCCCCACTGAAGATGCAAAGAGCAGCAGCACTGACTGCACCCCCCATTCCCTGCCCCTGCCCCTGCTGGGGGGAAGAGGTAGAGATATCGGGAGCAGAGCTGAGCCCGGGAAGAAGGGAGGGGACGAGGGAAGGTGTTTTCAAGATGTAGTAATGCTTCTCGCTGTCCTGCCCTGTCTTTTAAACGTTGTTGTTGTTGTTAGTGTCTGTATTAAATTTATGTTCTTTTTTTTCTTCTTCCCCTAACAAGTCTGTCTTTTGTCCATGACCATAATGGGTGATTCATCCCTCTCTGTCCTATCTCAAATCCTGAGCTTTTCCTTATTTTCTCCCTCTCAGCGCTGGGGGGAAGGGAGGGAGTGAGCAGCTGTGTGGTGCTCAGTTGCCCTCTGAGCTCAAACCACAACAGTATGATATTTTGAAGTGTTTCTTTTTGCTGGTCTCGGTCCAGCCAGGATTGGGACAATGTGCTGAATAATGTCAAACTCAATTTAGTTTGTGAAGGGGGAGCATTGCCAAGAGCACATGCTGCCATCCTGTATGCAAGCCCCAATTTATTACCCGGTGTTTACATCTTTCATTTCTGTTTTTCCCATCCTATTGACCTTCAGATCTAGTCTGTTTACTGACCACTCGCTCATCACATGCTCCACAGGTGGTGTTCTGACCTGCAGCTTCTCACGCTCGCAACAGGGTGTTCCTCACTGTTGCTTCATTTACCCACAACCATCCTTCTAATCTGAGGGTCAGTTTACAATTTTGCTAACCACCAATTCTTTACTCCCACATCTAGTCCGAATTTCTAACCATAGACTGCGCAGGTACAGTGAATGGTTGCTTGAAATGGTAGTGTGTCTAACTTGCATTACTGTAAACATATATATATTTAAAATAAATATATTAGGTATCTATGCATGTGTGCTTGTTTTCAAGCAGGAGCAAAAGGGCAGAGAAGGAAGATACTTCATCTGAGTGCAGTGTGTGGGAAAAGGGTCCCAGGGTACAGGAGGTCTGCTGTACAAACCAGGAGACTGCATCCATAGGGAGAAGCCTGGCCCGTAGGAATGCTGGAGCACTGCTCTGTCCCTGTTACGCCACTGAGGAAAGCAGGTGTGCAACCGATCCGGGCATGTGTAAGGATGACAAAATGTTTGGATATTGCCTTGTCATGGGAGGTGTCCTCCTGCCTGGGAGGACCTCCTTTCATGCTCATAGCAATAGGTACACCAAAAGGTGGTGAAAAGGTTGAGCCCCGGGAGAAGCAGGGAGCACACACAAATCTACTTTAATTACAATGTCTGTAGCTGGTATTTGCAAGGTAGGAACTATAGGCCTTGGTCTGCCCTTGTTTTAGAATGAAAGCAACAAGGGGTCCATGCTAGAAATAGGTAAACCACCTTTAAACTACCCTACAAGGAGGAATTGACTGTAATTTTCTCTAAACAACATATGAAACCAGAAAAAAATACTAATTGTGTTGATTTCTAATGATAATTTTGCTTTAAGGACATATCAATGCTTTTTACCACTCCCCATCTTTTCCTTTGATTCAGCATAAAATTTTAAAGTATGACTCTAGTCTAAAAAGATACCCTAGAAAAGTACCATAGTGTTATTATGTAATTGCTATATATATTCTTTTGCAAGTGAAATAGCAATTTATCTGTCTGAATATTGAGTTGAGATTGCTTTGGATATCAGTAAGAAAAATTCTAATTTAAAAGACTAGTTAGAAGCCTTCTTGATGGGAATGTGGATCATAATAATACCTATGTCTCTCTTGCATTGATTCTATAGGAATAAAAAGGAGTCTTTTGTTCAATAACATAATTTACACTTTATTGTTAAATATTGCTTGTCTTCTGCTAATGATAAAATGTGATTTTGCATAACTTTCTAAATATGTTCACAGTTTACCTATTAGTGTGTATATATTTTTGCAGGAATAAGGTACTGTTGCTCAGGTGCTGTTTCTTAAATAAATTGATTATGCTCTTTTCTAAATGCTACATTCTTTCTTACTGGTTCCAAGTGGACCTTTGATTCTGCCATATATGATGCATCATTTTACCCTGCTGATTCAGCTAGTGGGAATAATTCAGTCTGGAATAATTCTAGTTTTGTAGGATTCAGTATTTATGTATTTATTCAGAATATTAAGTATAGATTTTATTTTTGCCTGATGTTTGTATTTCCCAGACTTTCTCATATGGTTTGTTCAGGATCAACTTGAAAAGTTGACTAGACACTGGCATGGACAAGAAATTATAACCCATGAACCAAGAATAGAGGTAACTTTGCTCTCTGGGGATAGAAAGAAAAATATGAAATTCATCAGAAATTATTGCAAGGAGAGCCAAGTGGAAGAGATAGTGGTGAAATCTGGTGAAGAGAAGCAGCTGAAACCTTACTAATATTTATTGGTTCAGATTTAATTTTTGTAGGCAAAGTAATAAATTGTAGGGCTAGAACAGAGGACAGAAATTGTCATGGATTGCAAATGTAACAAGAAATTGCCTATGAAAATTCTTTCTGGCCTGTTTAAATGGAAGTTGTATGAGCTCTAAAACAAGTAGAAACTATGGCTAGATTGTATGTTCCTGATGGTTTGGACTTTTTAAAGAGCAAACATCTTATAGAAGAAGTATGAAACCATAGTCTGTTATTCTTCCTAAATACCCAAAGATATCAGCTTATGTCTTTTAAAATAATACACAGTTTTCTACATTCATGTATGTAGTATTTTAGCTTGTGCATACTTTATATAAAATAGCCACAGAAACTGAAAGGTTTTATGTTGGTTGTTGTGTAACAAAGCTTTGATCTTAAGTGAGAAGGAGAATATTTATTACAAGGAAGTCATGTAAAAAAGGGATGAGTTTTATATGTAGTATACTAAAAGAGCTTTTCTTTCTTGAGTGGTAGATAAGAAGATAAATTTCTGCAGGGAAAGAACTGCTTGTGTGTTCCTATAAGCCCCCTTTTGCATCAATTTGTTAGTGTTGGTAGGAGACCATCTTTGAGGAAAACTGAGAAAGTAAAGTAGGGGATGGTTATGTGCTATTTCAGTCATGGTTGAGACTTTCAGCTCAACATCCTAGTTCATTTGTTATTGATCATATCGTTCATTTATTTTCTTCAGTCCATTGTCAGACCTGACACAGTGCTGGTTAGTTTTTCTTTCCTTTTCAGCAGTAATTGATATGTGTCTTCTAATAAAAAGGTTTTGTGAGGGGGAATGCTGTGTTTCAAACCACGAGAAAGAAACAAGGTTCTTATCTGCTCTTGAGATGCCTACCCTAACATCCTTTCCATTAGTCTTTCTTAGATGTTTTCAAAACAGCAGTCTTCATCTTTATTTCTACATGTGTGTATGAAAGGAGCTTATCATAAAAGTCCATGGTATATCATTGTCTACTTTGAAGACTCTTCCCCACTGAAATATCTACAAAACCAGTGACAGCATTTAAGTTGCAGTCTGGCATTTTCTTATACCTAGGTAAACCTCATGGCTAACTGTTATCAAAAGTCTTGTTTTTCCTTCAGCCTCCACTACACTTACTTGTGGCCAAGAGTTCCCAGCTGATCTCCTGTGCCATCACTTTTACTCACCTGATCTTGTAGTGAGGTGTTTAAGGAAGCTAAATTAGCAGAAAAACAATTTCTTTTCTACAAAAGCAGTTTTCTGCCTGCTGAGTTTCACAAATTGGGAGCAGATGAATTCTGATGTCAAAGCAAGGGAAAACAATTATTGGGGCACAAGAATTGAGCAACATTAACTTTCTTTGTCAGCAGTAAGCTTTTAGATCAGCTTAGCTATGATTGCATCTATAGACAGCGAGTATACCAAGAATACTGCTTATCACAGTGATCTGTGTTGTCTTGCTATCTCCCCGTGTTCTTGTGTCTGCAACCACCTTATTTCCTTTGTTTTATACTTTGGTTGTAAGCCCTTTTTTTTCAGAGGCTGCCCCTCTGTACTGTATTTGTAAACCACAACTTTTGTAACTTCAAAATTTTTGCTGTGATGTTTACCACACCTTATCATTTTTCCCTCCTAACAGATGTCAGACATTACTATTTATTGTTTGGGGACGATGGCACAGCCTCCACATAGCTGCTTGCCTATGTCCTTGTGAAAAGACTTAGTATTATAACATCTCCTCTGCATAACATAAATAAAGTTAGTACTGGGGATAAGAACAATTGATTTATTCTCATCTAAGAGGCTGGAATTTGAGGGCTGGATACAGCTGTGTTGGGTACACAAAAAAATCTGTCACCAAGCTTCAAGAGGAAAGAACTGAGGAAAATGTAGGCAGTGGCTGATCATGTCTGTTTGACTTTTGCAGGTATTGTTTGTAGCATTATTGTTCCACAATACATTCTGTTGCAGGTATGCAGTATGTAAGAGACCTGTAAAGACTGGATTTATGAAAAACATGGTGAAGGTGGACACAGTGGTTTGGGAGATTGGTACTCGAATATGAAGGCTTGGTTTCCTACATACCTGATTGAATAACTGAATACAGCTGAAGGATTCTTATGGAGCCAGTGGGAATTCTTTTGATTTTTAAAGCTTACTGGTCTCTCTTCTCTTTTTTTTTTTTTTTTTTCCAACCATCTTACATGGGTCTGTTTGCATCTCATCAGCAGGAACAAGCGCCTTGGATAGCAGATGATGTTCTGTACCAGTTGCAACAGCAATAAGCAGACTGAAAGGGAGGAGAAAGGCAAACCTAAGAGATCAAATTCACCAGAACAAACTAGGATGGTATTGGAAATATTCCTGGAGAGTTGGGAGATAATTTGGGGCTCGAACCTGTGCTGCTGTCCTCCTCCTTTGCCCTCAAAACTAGCTCTTGACATGTCTGTCCCATCTATGAGACATTATGAGACCCTTGTTCCATGGAGGAACTAACACTTCTGAGCTTCTGAGCCTCCCTACAGAACATTTTCTTTCAGGTAAGGTTTGCATGAAGGTGAGACTTCTTAGAAACTCGGCAAATTTGTTAGCAAAACTGCCTAGAGCATACATCTTATCTCAGTGTACAGTTTCGTGTGACCACTAAACCAACTGGTCATCACTAGTTGCCACTGCAAGACAAAGGTCTTGCTCCTGGCTGTGCTGTCCCACTGTTGCTTCTGTGCTGGCTTTGCTGCCTGGCTGAGGCATGGTAAGGCGGGCTGGAAACCTGGCCAGTGGAGAGATAAGCCAGGAAGAAAAGGTTTCTTACAGTATCTGACCAAGGCCAGGCGAGAGCCAGCAGAGGCTCAGGGGAAGGGGGAGCAATTCACAGAGGAGAGCGCCAGCAGCTCTGATTTAGATCAGTCTAAACTCTCATACGAGTGTGTGCTCCTGGGTGGTGCCACATCTTCCTGGTGTCTCTGCTCTACCCTAGGCACTTTCGTCTCCTCCCCGGTGCCCTTTCAGATGCTTCTTTGACCCTTTGTGCATTGACTCAACTCACCAACCTCACAGAAAAAGCCCTCTTCATTTGCTTCTTGAATTGATTCAGTGTGCAACTGTGTGAACCCCATAACTCTGTGAGGGAAGAGGGGAGTGAAGGAAGAAGTTGGTGGAAGAGATGGAACTGTCCTTTTTTTGGTGGTCAAACCATTATTATCACCCACTGAGGGTGCAACTTGATGTTACACCTAACCAACTCTGCATGCAAGCTGCTACTGAAGAAAATAGTCCTCAACTCACTGACCTGATGCAAAGAGAAATTTTTTTTTTTTTTTTTTTTTTTTGTGAGTTGCTACAAAATTGTGTGATTGTTAAATCCAGTTCAGGGGAAGGTGCAGGAATGTCTGTGTGGAAGTGGTTGGGAAAAACAAAAAACAGAACTGCTGCTTTTTGTGATGATCTCCATTTTGGTCATGCTATCAGGATGTGAAACTGTCCTCTTTGCATGCCTGTGGAAGGATGAAAACAAAACTCAGATTGTAAAAAATAAAATTAGTTTTGAGTTGGGTCAACACACTAATCTGACTTGACAGCTGCAGAAAAGCTCGTCCTAACACAGGGAGAGAATGAGAAGATGCAGTGGGGGACAGGAGATAGGGGAATCTCCTCATTTGGTAGCAGAGTGCTCTTAGATTTGCTGATGCTGAACATGGAGTAGCTCCCCAAGGAGGGAATTCCAAGTGTTAGAATAAATTTTCAGCTTTTTGTAATAAATGGCTCACCAAAATGAACCAGCTTAAAAAAAAAAATCTTCTATTCTTGGAAGCTGAGTGTTTTCATTAGCCTCACAGGTGAATTTGTGGGAGAATGGAGAACTATACCAGTGAGCGAATAACAGACTAGGAAATTGGGAAATCAGGAACCTACTCAACTGGCTCTGCTATCAGGAAAGCTATGGGAAACTCTGTCTTTGATTTTTTACAGTAGCTTGTAATGAAGAAGAATAAGGATGTACTTCAGCAACCCTTTCTTCTTGCTCATTATTATGGTACTATAACCCCAATTTCCTGGTACTGTGGGGTGGAGGGAGTGGTACAATACCAAAACCATGATGTGTGGCATGGTAGGGAGCAGGGTACATTTCATATGTGGTTTTGGAGGGGCTAAATCCATATTTGATTCTGTAAGTTAACTTTCTGTAAACTTAAATGTTACTATGACCTGAAATTTACTTAAAATTGCTGTTTCTCGGATTTAAGTTACTTCTGTATGCTGTTTTAAATTTGTTTCTGTCTTTACCTACATTGCTTTTTCAGCAGTTTCTGAATTAAAAAAAAAAAAGTTGCAATGGTTTGCTCCTTCTTGAATAATAATTTGTTGCTAGTTAATGAAAGTCTTTGTGATGACTTTATCATTGTGATTATGCAGACCTGGCTGCTGGTGCCAGAATATTGATTAACAGCGCCATAAACTGACTCTTGCGGGTTCAGTCACAGTACAATATACCACACACTGCTCTGCAACTTTAGCAGATAACCAGTTTGACACTTTCGGGTTTCCACTTAAAAGCATCAGATGATCCCGAGTGTTGAAAAACAAATCAGTTGTTTCTATTGTTATCTGTAAAAAAAATTAAGTCAGGTTAAGTTTCCTTTGCACGACTTATTAAAAAAAAGTGAATATCACTTAAGAAAAATAACTGGTTTTCACAAAAATATAATCACCGTTATGAGCTGTTTTATTTGAAGGAGCACCAGCAAACATAACGGTTCCTCATATGTATAGATCTGTGAAGAACTTTATTGTATAATTTGGAAATAATAATGAAGAGAGACCAAATTATATTGTTGTATAAAAGAATTGAGATAAAAATATAAACTTAAAAAGAAAACAACAAAATCCCTTACGAAAGAGAACAATCTGAAAGGCCGAATCGAATGTAAACCTCGCTGATACTGATTCCTCTTTTCAAATGCTAAAGACTAGCAGGACACCTGTGAGCAGGCTGATTGATTGCAACCATCTGAGGTGTTCCTTCAAACCTCTTCACAACTGTGCCTGAGACCATGTTAAAGGATAATCTGATTAAACCTTAATTCCTGTAGTCTGTGTGGGTCTAACAGGGAGTAGGTTTTTTTATGGTGAAGCCTGTTTTGTCTGTTACATGTGTCTGACTTGAACGGAGTAGTGCAATTGGAACATTGACTGCAAAGTAACTTCTGAAGAGCAGAAATAAGCTGTTGATGTATTGAGAACGAAGAATTTTATGGTGAATATTTGTATCCAACCTTTTCAGTCTTGTACTTTATTTGTGTATTAGCCCAGTAAATTTCTTAAATTTTTAGGATGCAAAAACGGGCCAGCTTTCCCAGAGTGCTGCACACAAAGAAATGGCTGTAGTCCTTTTTGTGTGTCTGCTTTACCTATGGACTTTGATAACAGTGAGAGTCCTGAACTGCACCAGATAGATTCATCTGTGTACTTACTGATCTTGGAAGGTAAGTGTCGACTTAATATGTATACATTGTCTGTAAGTATCTAAGTACTTATATGTAAGTACTGCATTTTTGGACTGTATGAAGAATCAGTTTTATGCATCAAAAGTTTTTGCATAGTCAGTGCGTGTCTCCGACATTGGATGTTGAATTCTGAACCAGACATCACCAGGATCAGGGGGAAGGTTCAAGCTAAGTCCCTGAAGCATACTTGGTTTTGAAAATAAACTCCTAATAAGCTATAACAAAAAAACATAAATAGATGTAAAAGCTTTACAGAGGCTTAATAATTGCTGGAAGAAATGGTAGCCTGTTCATACAGGAAAAAAAAAAATCTATCTCAAATGTGTCTTCTGTTTCTTTGTGATTCTTCTGTTCTCTTGTTGCTTTTTACAGAACATTTTCTGTGTAGATGCTTAAAACTTGCATATCAGCTGTATTTGAAAAAAACACAAACAGCAAGCAAGCCATTACTGGGGTTTTTGTAACGGAGAATTTTAGTCATGCCTTGCTCTTGGGCACAGGTTTTTGTAGCTGACTCAAACAGGACTGGACCAAACCTGGTGAACCCTGTAGTGTACTTTCTGTTCAGGCTAGAAGTTCTCCCTGCCAGTGTTGCACCTGTGCCGCTGCAAACAGTAGCAAGACAGCAGTCTACATGGTTATATTTAGGCATCCATTCCAGTTGTAGGAAGACTGGAATATGTTGGTTGGTCACGGAGGCAATGACCAAGAGTATTATTAACTGAAGACAGGTAGAGGCAGGGTTGGGGGAGTCTGGTGGCTAAAGGAATGGTCATACCTGATTGCAGTTGCTGTTGTCCACACTTTGTTTTCAGTCAATCAGATATTTACCACTTCAATTTACTGGGGGTAATATCATTGCTGAGTTTGTGCCTAGCAGTTGCTGAAAGCTCTTGCAGTGCATGAGCTCGTGGGGCACCTCTTCATTAGGAACAAAACTCCTAAAGCCCACTTTTTGTCCCTGAGACCTCGTTCATGCCAGACTGTCCTTGCCTCCAAAACGGACCAGCCGCGTCCTGGCTGCCTGGCCCCGATGTGTGCCAGAGACCACTGCGGCAGCAGGGGGAACCAAGCTCCCGTGTCTGGACCCGTGTGCTGAGGACTTTTCTGTTCTGGCATGGGTTAGCTGAGGCAGCTGAAAGCTGGTGCGGTGGGTTGGTCTCTCCAATGCAGGTAGGAGCGGTGTCCACCTTTACTGCTCAGAAGGCTTTGGATTAATTCTCTTTGAAAATAAGTATCTTCCAAACTTAGTAGGTGAAGAGGAGGGAGGAAGGCAGTACGCCAGCATGTTGTAACAGCTTCCATACTTTGGTTATGGGTAAATTGGAACCATTTTTCTGTAGAATGGATTAAAACTCCTCCAGACCTGTAAGTGTATGTGCCCCAGTGAATGCAAAATCAAAGACCACATTTGCTTTGAGGCAAAGGACTGAAGGGCATAAAGACCCTTTAAAGTCTTACACAAGTTTTATGTATTCTCTGTGTATTTTATGAATTTCTCTCTTTCTACCACTGAAATAAAAAATCCAAAGAGAAAGTTGAATAGTGAATACCACTTCTGTATTGACCTATCTTTGTTTCCAAGTGGATAGTTTTATTATATAAGTATTTCTCATTCCTGGGTTGATACTGTAAATGCTAGTTTTACCAATTTGATATTTTTGCCATTTTTCTTATAACTCTTAATGCCATCAATGGCTTTAATGTAGCTGCTAGAACCGGCAAGTAAGTAAACACTCTGCGTTGTCTCTATTTTAGAAACTTTGCGGAGAAAGTTGCCTTTTAGATATCTGATACATGAAGTTAATAGCCATTCTTGCTGTTAGCATTATCTCCCTCCCAATTCCATTTTGCTTTAAGATTTGGCTTCTTAACTTGGAGGTTATGGGCAAAAGGTAAGGAGAGGTCCTAATAACTTCTTTCCTCCTTCCTTAATTATTGCATATTTTCTTGGTTTTATTTTTCCCAAGGTGAGCATAGAGTAGCAGACTTCCTTACCAATGCAAGTGGTAGTGGTTTTGCTTTTCAGTCTTCTATTGCTCTATCCTGTGAGGTGCCCATTATGCCTTCTTGGTTCCCTGTCCTGCTGGGACATGCCCGTAGTTGCCTCTTATTCCCTAGTTTTTGCCTCAAGGGTGCGGTTAATTGGATTATGGTTCATGTTCTCTGCTTGATTCCCAAGAGCCAGAGAGCAGGGAAGTCCTAGACACCATCTACTTTTCCCCTGTCCCATGGATTTCTTTCATCTCTAATGAACTCGGACCAAAACACAGACCACTGTGCTTGTGAGCCATAACACTTCAAAAGCGGTTTTGAGTTTAGCTGGGAAAGGGTCCTGGAATGTGCAGATAGATGTTAGCTAGGTCAAACAATGGGCCCCTGAAAAGCTGAGGATTTACAGAATCTGACAAATGGCTTATTAATGACAGTATAATAAACATGGAAAGAAAATCAACTTTTTGAATGTATTTTTTTTCCCCTGTAAACAGTGCAAGGCACCTTTCTTGCCATTCTCATTTTAATTGGAGAAGATGCTGATGCAACCTTGTCTTCGGGATTGGCAGAGGTGTCTTGGCAGCTGGGCCACCAGGGATACGATTAGTTGACAAACTCAAGGTATAGGTGGAGATGGTCACAATCAGCTCCTCAGTAAACACAGATCAAACTTCTGCCCACTTTCTTTTTAAATGAACAAATGTTAGCAATTTATTTATTATTATTACACTAGATTTTTTTTTTATTAAACTTCAGAGAGGGCAAAATGATCCTTGAATGGCAACAGATATTTATTCACCTGATACTGCAAGAAAAAAAATAATAGCTGCAGCACCAGAAGCCAGATTTGTACATCATACCACATGAACACTCTTCAATTCACCAGCAAGCTCTCATAGCAATTTAGATGCCAGTGAAACTGATAACAATTTTTAATTCCATTTGAGCATGGCAATTCCTCCAAACAGAACTTCTTGGCTTTTTGAAAAAAAAAAAAAAAAAAACAAACCTCCAAAAAAAACCCCACCCCCAAGCCACAGCATTTCTAAAATACTGAATCTAGATCCACATTGCTTAGTGAATCATTCTCCATCCTGGCTTACTCAGAATGCTTCTCCCATGGACAGAATTTAATTTGAGTTTCTTCAACTATTACTCACACGGCTGTGTTAAAGGGGTTTGAAATTTCTGTCCTTCCCCTCGTTCTACATCAGAAAAGGATTTGGCAAACGCAGAGTTGCTAGAATAGTTTATATAAAGAGAACTACATGTGTGGCATGAAAAGGTTAAGAACTGCTGTTCTCGTATATTTATGTTCCCAGAGACCCCGAGATCAAGTATTGAAACATTAGCAGATTCTAAGTAGAAGCTGCAAGGGGAAATCATTGGCCCGGCAGAAAAGTAAGTTGTGTACTGCATATGGCATTGTGATAGTGAAGGAGTCCCAGTATGAAACGTACCCAAGCCTTTATAAGATTGATTACAGCAGGTAAGTTAATGTACATTGTGGGGAGATTTATAACTTCCTTTCTGTTTTCCACAGGCCAATTTAATTGGTGGCAATGCTAAAACTGGGTAAGGGTTTTTGGAAAAGAATTACCCAGAAGAAGCTACCGAAGCTCGAAAGGACACCGTCTAATCAACAAGCAGTTCTGCTAAGAAGTAATGCAGTATAAAAAATGTGATAAATGCTTCAAGAAAAGCTTGGGCTTCTTTACTTCATGAAAATATCAAATGCT